TTGATTATTTTATAATAAAACCATTAACTCTTGGTAATGACAGTATTAGGAAGAACCATAGCTTTATGAACCAGTACTCATCATAGGAATGAGAGAACAGGAATATAAATTTGTCTATGAAGTATTGTGGTCTCATTATTAAAATTGATATTTACATTACGGTATGCCTATGGTACGGTAACTTTACTTCTTATTAAAGTAATGAGTTACATTATGCTAAATAGTGATTATGGTCTTCATGTTATATGTGTGCTCTTTATTAATTTTAATTCTCACCACAGTTATGCAGAGTCATCTAGACAGGTTTCTCCATTACAAGGAGATGGCACTTGAGAGGTGTAATAATTCTTCCCCAGGTCATAAGAAATAATAGCAGAGTTGATGTATGAGCTGACTTGAAAGTAAAGGTTTTCATTTTCATGGAGTGTCAGATGTTCTTCTGGTACCAAACCAGCAATACATAAAAGATACCTCGTTAGGATGCTTTTCAGGCGTGTTGAGCTTCGTAAATCTGCAGTACCGCTGCAATTCTGGAATAGCTCCTGGGTTGAGAGCTACTTACTCTGAAATTTGTTTTTGCCACATTTCTAACAGTTATGTAAGCAGCATTGATTTCTTAACATTTAAGTTAAAAGTAAAATTCAATTTTTAAGCTTTCAGTAATTGTAAAGTATTTAGTGGGAAGTTTCCTGAATACACTGTCCTTATTTTAGTGAGAGGATCTTTCAGGAATGAATCATTCACACAGCACTCCATTGTCCAAAGGAAAAGGGAAAGAAAACAGTCATAACCTTGAGGAAATCACTTCTCTGAGCTTTAAAATTATCTGCTAAACATAGACAATAATGTCCTTTCAGATGACTATAGGAGTTAAAACGTTTTTAAGACTTTGCTTGAAATTTAGTACAGTGGTTGAATGACAGAAAATATCTTAGTATCTTCACTAGAAATGAAGAGACAGTATTGTTATAAAAAGTTCAGTTTTGGGACTGGAGCGATAGCACAGCAGGTAGGTCATTTGCCTTGCACTCAGCTGACCCGGGTTTGATTCCCAGCATCCCATATGTTCCTCTGAGCACCTGTGCATCGCTGATGTGACCCCAAGAAAAGCAAAAAAAAAAAAAAGTTCAGTTTTGGGGCTGTAGACATAGTGTGAGGGGTGAGGCACTTGTCTTCCATGCTGCCGACCCCAGTCCGATATCTGTCGCCCCATATCCCCAAGCTCCTACAGGAGTGATCCCAGAGTGCTTCCTGGTATGGCCCCAAAACCCAAACCAAAATCAAGAAATATAATTTCCTCTGAAATAGTGCGTTAAGTAGAATAAAAATAAGACTTTCTTCACCTGCATATAACCAAGTGCGAAGTATGCACTGTTAGCACTGTTGTCCCGTTGTTCATCAATTTGCTTGAGCGGGCACCAGTAACATCTTCATTGTGAGACTTGTTGTTACTGTGTTTGGCAGATCGAATACGTCACAGATAGCTTGCCAGGCTTTGCCGCGCGGGCGAGATACTCTCGGTAGCTTGCTGGGCTCTCTGAGAGGGGCGGAGGATTCGAACCCAGGTCAGCCTTGTGCAAGGCAAACACCCTACCCGCTGTGCTGTCGCTCCAGTCCAAGTGCTAAGTATATAGACACTTTCCTCTCTCTAGGAGTAAAACCTTGATACCCAGAACATACTACAGTTTTCAGACCAGTAGGCAATTTCTGAGGAGAACCAAGTTAGTAAAACTATTTTCCTGTTATGTTCCAAGAATGAATCTAGTGTATTTCCAAACTCGTTTGTTCCTGTTGTACTTAATATCAGATAACTCACTTAAATAATAATGTGAACTGATAAAATACAAATGCCAAATGTTTTAAAACTACAAAAATCTAAGGTATTTTGGAAAGACATCATGAAAGTCAGTAACTTGGAATGTTTTGTTTGCAGTAGTAGAAAGTAGGAATTCTGGAAGTAGCAATAGGTGATCACTTCACTTGATCACTTGATCCCCCGTTATTCATCGATTGACTCGAGCCGGTGCCAGTAACGTCTCCATTCATCCCTGTTGCGTGCTAGCATAGCCCAATGGCATCTCATCTGTTCGTTCTAGGAACATGAAGAGCCTCAAACTGATCGTTCATGATCTTCACGAAGAAGTCTGACCATCTTGTAGGTGGGCATCCACGCGATCTTTTGACGTCCCGTGGAATCCAGTCAGTAATGGCTCTAGTCCAGCGGTTGTCTGTAAACCTCATTACGTGTCCAGCCCATCTAATTTTTGATGCCTTGGCAAATGAGACAGCGTCCCTGATTCTTGAGCGTTGACGGAGATCGGAACTCGGGATTCTATCTCTCATTTGAGTGAAGCGTGATACTCCAAGCATAGCTCTTTCGATTCCTCTTTGAGAGACCCGAATAGCGTTCTCATCCTGTTTTCATAGGGCCCATGTCTCTGAGGCATATGTTAATGCAGGAAGAACAGTGGAATCAAAGAGATGTGCTCGTAGCAATAGGTGATTAGAAATGACTATGAATTCTTCACTTAGTTTGCATTGCTTGTTTTACAGTTTTTAAAATCGCAAAACTGGAAATCTTAAATTTGTGTAGTGATGTATGAATCCTAAACTTGTGTAGTTATGTTCTATTCAAGAAAAAGTCTCAGTTTTAGTCAGTAGATCCATTCTTAAATATTTGGCTAATAACAAGATTAGATTAGAAATATGTCTTATGAATACATGTAGCACTGTTGCTGTAGCACTGTCCTCCCATTGTTCATAAATTTGCTCAAGTGGGCACCAGTAATGTCTCCATTGTGAGACTTATTGTTACTGTTTTTGGCATATTGAATATTCCTCAGGGAGCTTGCCAGGCTCAGCCGTGCAGGCGGGATACTCTTTGTAGCTTGACGGGCTCTCTGAGAGGGACAGAGGAATTGAACCCGAGTTGGCCGCATGCAGGACAGAAGCCCTCCCCGCCATGCTATTGCTCCAGCCTGTGAATACATGATTATATAGAATTATTATCCTTTATTCTAATAGTTGTTAAAATTATTAGTTATATAGAATTGCTGGGCTGGAGCGATAGCACAGCGGTAGGGTGTTTGCTGCGTGCAGCCAGCCCGGCCAAGCCTGGTTCGATTCCTCCGCCCCTCTCGGAGAGTCCCGCAAGCTACCGAGAGTATCTCGCCCACGTGGCAAAGCCTGGCAGGCTACCCGTGACTTGTTCGATCTGCCAAACGCAGTAACAAGTCTCAAAATAAAGACGTTACTGGGCATGCTCGAGCAAATTGATGAACAATGGGAGGACCGTGACGGTGACAGATATAGAATTGCTATACTTCACTTATTGTTCACATTTTATCTATTTACTTTGTTTTTAGGGCCACCCTCAGTGCTGCTCAGAGCTTTTTCCTAGGCTGTGCACCCCAGACCCACTCATGGTGGTGCTTGGAGGGCCATATGGGATGCTGAAGATCGAACCTGGGTTGGCTGCATGCAAGGCAAGTGCCTTGCTACTGCCCACTGCACTAGCTCTCTGGCCCTGTATAGCTCACATGAAAAAAAAAAATTAGTCATCTGTACTGTTCTGCTTAAACATATATATGTTTTTACTCCATTCCCATGAGAATGGGAATGACAGAATATGCTAATAGCTTCCAGAAAGAAGAGTTCAGCTGGAACAATTACATGAGACTCATTCTACTGACTTAAAAATTACCAGCTAATAGAAGTTAACTCTGTTATCTGACAGATGAAATGAATGAACAGAGATGTAGATATTTGATTTTTCTGACTGGCCCGAGTGTGATTTGGTAGTTTTATTTGCCAGGATCAGCAGTTTGAAATCTAGCTGACTGTACTTGTATCAGGGCAACTGGTGTAGCAAAAGTACTACCGCTATTAATGTAAACAATGCTAATAGTGATATTAGTAATAGTAATTGCTATTTAAATTCCGGGTGTTGAAAGAGTAGAGTGAAAGAGGGTAAACAGCTGTGTTTAATTAGCGCGGTGGGGGGTCAGGCAACCATATCAGGTGCCAGGAATCGAATTTAGGCTGCCCACGTGCAAGGAAAATGCCCTACCATTGCTCTGGCCCCATTCATGGGAAAGTCTTCTCAGTGGTTTGTTTATTGTTTCTCCTTCACGTTTGCCTTCCTGTTCTTCAGGGGCTCCTATAATTCTTATGTTATTCCTCTTGAACTCATCCCATCATTCTTTTGCATGCTGTTCAATTCGTTTCCACCTTCTACTGTTTTCCTAGCAGTTTTGTCTTCATCTTGGAGCTCAGAGTATACGATAAATTTTTAAGTCCCATCCAATTTTAGATTTAACTTTTAATTATGTATCTGCACATGCATATATACAGAACACACATATACTTGTATATCTGTGTATGTGTGTGTTTAAATATATTTTTTACATATATAAAATGGGAGCCAGAATAAAATATATCAAATAATCATATCTATGTTTGGATTTCTGCTTTTTCAAAAATAATTCATTCCCCCTACCCCAATCCTCTGCCTAGAAGTAGTAGTTGTATTCTTTTCGACCTGTAATCTTTTGAGATTTCTGATCCTCTGCTGTAGCACAGTCCTCCCATTGTTCATCAATTTGCTCGAGTGAGCCCAGTAACATTGTGAGACAAGTTACTGTGTTTGGCATATTGAATTCGTCACGGGTAGCTTGCCAGGCTTTGCCGTGTTGTTGAGGTACTCTCGGTGGCTTGCTGGGCTCTCGGAGAGGGGCGGAGGAATCGAACCCTGGTCTGTACAGGCTGGCCGCATGCAAGGCAAACGCCCTACCCACTGTGCTATCGCTCCAGCCCGATTATCTGCTAAAGGTGCCTAGTTAGATTGTTATCTGATAAATGCAACTCCGAATCAATCTTGGGCTCAGAAAATAGCCCGAGTCGCCTCACGGTCATCAGAACATGTATTAGCCATTTATACAACTTTTTAGTTCCGTAAAGTTCCGCATGTGCCGCAGACTCCTTAACGGAATTCATGACAGTTTTGGTCGCCCAGGAGTCGAGTGCTACTGCCAGCACGAGAGCGGGTCTGCCGTCATCCAGCTGCAGTTCCTGATTAACGAGGTGAGTGGCGGCTTCTGCCTCCTGGTTTACAGGTGAGATGCACCCACAGCTGCTTCTTCAGATTCCCCACAGAAGCATTCGTATTGAATCTTTGGAATTTACAGAGCAGAAATAATAGCTACTCACTTTAAAGCATAGCACAAAGAGTAAGCTCTTTTCTCAAAACAGTATTGCAATTATGTTCATAGTTTTTTTTAATAAAACAAAAAAGGTGAGTGCAACCCAGGTTGCGTGCTTGGGATGCAAGTTTCCTACCAGCTACCTACCAGCTCTACTATCTCAAGGCTCCTAAGTAAAATTTTTGATACAAGTTGCTGCATCTAAATTTTATTTTCAAGAAATAATGGGGCCAGAGAGATAATTGAAAGCGCTGGGCACATGCTTTGCAGCCCCAGGTTTGAACTCTGGCACTGTGTGGTTCCTTGAAGGGCAATTGCTTGGTCACTGAGCACATGTGTGGGTTGCCCCCATGCACTTCCAGCAGTGACCCAGGCCCCCAATAGTAGAAACACTGACAGTTGTATAGGAACATCTATTAAAAGAATTCTGAAGACGTAGCTTATTACATAAACTAAAATGCACTCCACTTTTTGGGAGAAGTCCATTAGAAATTGGTCCCTGTCAAAGTTCTCATCTAATTAGAGTATCTCGCCCGCATGGCAGAGCCTGGCAAGCTCCCCGTGACATATTCAATATGCCAAACACAGTAACAACAAAGTCTCCAATGGAGACGTTACTGGGCCCGCTCGAGCAAATCGATGATCAACGGGAGGGAAAAAAAAAATTAGAGTTGTTAAATTATGTCTTTCTTTTTGATCCATTATAAAATCTGAGGGGCTGCTAAATAAAGTATCACTATATCAGCAAAGAAAATGTGTTTGGAGGTTTTAAAAAAACATGCAAGCAGAAAGTAGACTATAGACCAAACATGTTTGCCACTCATTGCCTGTTTTGTAAACCACAACACCCCAAAGGAGAGAGAGAACAAAAGGGATGGGGGTGGATGGGGGGGTGGGAGGGATACTGGGATCTGTGGTGGTGGGAAATGGCCTCTTGTGGAGGGATGCGTATTTGATCATTGTATAACTGAAACCCAAGCACAAAAATTTGTAAGCCTACAACTGTACCTCATAGTGTCTCAGTAATAAAAATTAAAAAAAAAACATGCAAGCAGATCTGGGAATTGTTTCAAGTGACAGGGAAGAGAACTCTGTCATGGAAGAAAGGAGTATTTTTCTAGATGCTGGATTCCTTAAATATAAAGGTGTCGTCATATAGGTTTTTTGTTTGTTTCCCAAATTTTTGAAGTTCATGAATACTTTAAGGTGTATGTTTAAAGTATGTCTAGTTTTTATTTTGACGGCAGGATTGAAGACAGGCATCATGGATATAAAAAGTTAAATTGTTGAGAATAAAGAATTGAATTGGTATTTAAGAGTTGATAATGTAAAAATTAAGTGAAATTGATTACAAAGAATCCTTCTTCCTCCTGCCAAGGGTCAGAGGAAGTACTTTTTAAAATGTCAGAATTGGGGCCAGGAGACAATTATAACAATTGTAGTGCTTGACCATGATTCGATCCTGTGCACCTCATGGCCTCCTAAATATTATACAGTGTAGCCCCAGAGATCCCTGAACTGCACCAAGTGTGACTCTGGAGGCCTCTAGGCAATACCATGGTGGCCTGTAACTCCACTTCAATGAAGAAGTTAGAACTTCATACACAAACACACGTGGCCCGTTACATTACATCTCCTGTTTAGAGTTTGAGTCAGAGAGGTGTTTCTCAAAATTAAACATACTGACAAATTCTAAAATTCAGGAAGATTTTTTTTGGAAGGATCTTAGTACTTTAGATGTTTTTGAACTTTAATACTTGTAAAATGCAGTATGTCTTGTTTTTTAGGGAGCTCTTGTGAGTGCCTTGGCTGATGATACCTTACATTTATGGAATTTACGTCAAAAGAGACCTGCCATACTACATTCACTTAAATTTTGCAGAGAAAGGTAAGAATTCTCTCTTACCCTATTTGGAGTAGATTTTTATCTGTTCAAACCATTTTTACCTGTATTTTATTTATTTGATAGACAATATGCCCAATCTCAAAACTAAAAATGTTCAAAGGATATATAATGAAAACTAAATTTCCCCTTTGTCTAGACTTCTTTTTCCCACCAGATGCAGTCACCTAAGTTTCTTTTGTGTCCTTCTAGAAATATTTTAAGTCCTTATGCATAAGCAAAACTTTTGGTATAGTTCCTGTATTGCATAAAAGAGAAGCTATTATATATTCTTCCTATAATTTGTTTTTTTAGTAACATCTGAATGAGTATTTTTATTGGCATATTTAAATCTTTCTTAATCTTTTTCATATCTGCATTTTATTTTGTTGTGAAAATGTGATCATTGAATCTTTATTAGTGGGCATTTATATCTTTTTCAATCTGCTGTTCATTTCGTTCTATTATGATATTATGTTGCATGTTATTTTTCCACATAAATATGTATATAAGGTAGATTTTAGGAGTAAGGTTGAAATCTCCTGCATGATTTATGATCTGAAGGTTCTAGTCACACAAATTCATGAAACAAATACACATTTTCTTATATTATTGATAATTTTCTTTTAAATTTTTGATTCATATGAAACATTTTGGCTTGAAATGAGTAATGAATCCTGTCCCTTTTTCTCCACGTTTGCTCATGTGACAATAGTTTATATATATAGTATTTTTATATACATATATGCATGTATATTTGCTTATGTATGTGTGTCTGCTAAGTTAAGGAAGTGGGATTTAGCTAGAATCTACATGTAGTGGGATTAATGTAATTAACCCACATCTAAGGAATGGCTAGCATCAGACTTTCCAATCCATGTTCAGGAATCAGGCATATTCTGTTTGTTAATTGTAGTTTCAGGTTATGTGATTATATTAGCAGGTCAGAGTGAGTCTGGGCTTCTGTGTTCAGAAGGATGTACAAAGTAGGCAAGCAAAAAAGGAGTCTGGGAATCGAGCAGTTCCATCTTGGTGTAGTCAACAGCAGGCATGTCTCTGTTGCTCAGTGGTCAGAGAAGAGAACTGGCATGAAGTCATTAGCAAAGTTTGCTATTGGGCTGTGTATATTCTGCGAAGATAAGTCTTCCAAGTGACTTTAGATGGATTATGGCTTTACTTCTAAGAGAGGGACAGAGATAAAGGTGTCAATGAGAGGAGCAAGGGGTGGGAGGGGAGGGTGAGCATGTACAGTGTCGATGTTTAACCTGCTGGTAGTTGGACCAACCTGTCTTCTTGTTGGACCGTGATCCTCAGTTAATTTGTCAGTTTGGTCTCTGAGAGAGAGTCCTTGATCAGCCCCTGATGTGATAGAGTAAGTGGAGAGAGTGAGGGGCGTGGTAGTAGCCGTACACATTGTTTTGTTGTTCATCTCACATCTGCTGCAAATGAACGTGTACATCAAACGGAACAGTTCCTCACTCATTCTGTTTTATCTGCAGCGGGCACTTGGCAGTGTCAGGAGGTGCTTTTTGTTGCCACATGTGGGACGTCCTGAGCATTGTATCTAGTGATACAGGCCAGTTATGCAACCGAAAGTGTTACAAAGCACAAGTCCCCCATAACAAATACAATCTGGTTCAAAATAATACCGCCGAAATATCTCTGGTCGCTGTGATGCTGTGCAAGTTTTCTTACATACATCACCCCCAGAAGGGGTTCTGACAGCATGTAGAATTCTAGCATAAAAATACTTTGTGAATGGATGTGGAAAGTATCATGCTAAGGGAAACGAGTCAGACAGAGAAGGACAGACATAGAATGACTGCACTCACTTGTGGAATATAAACTAACATGAGACTGACACCCAAGGACAGTAGACGCAAGAGCCAGGAGTGTTGCTCCATAGTTGGAAGCCTGCCTCATAAACTGGGGAAGAAGGAAGCTGGAATACAGAAGGGATCACTAAATCAACGATGGTTGGAGAAATAGTTCAGGATGGGAGATATGGGCTTAAAGTAGATAAAGGACCAAACATGATAGCCTCCCAGTCTCTATATTGCAAACACTAATGCCCAAAAGTAGAGAGAGAGTATGGGGGAAATTGTCTGCCATAGAGGCAAGGGAAGGGCTGGTAAGGGGGGGTGTATACTGGGGACATTGGTGGTGGGGGATGTGCACTTGTGGAGGGATGCGCGTTTGATCAGTGAATGACTGAATTTAAAACATGAAAGCTTTGCAGCTGTATCTCATGGTGATTAAATTAAAAAAAAATCAGTTAAAAATAAATTAAAAAAATAAAAATAAAAATACTTTGGATACCCAGTCCCCGGACATAAGTGGCAGGTCCATATTTCTCACTAGGACACAGGGATATGTCAGTGTGTGATTCAAGTTCACCTGCCACTGCAGGTAAAGATTAATATCCACGGACAAAGAATCAGAGCACAGGAGAGTCTTGGAGTCAGGAGTCAGTGCAGGTAGATATGAATTCTCCTCATATGGTTCTTTAATCTCACAGACACAGGTGAGGCTAATAAATAAGCTAGTTCATCTTGACAAATAGAAGGTAACTCTTTGTGTTGCGTAAAAACAAAAGGTGACCTTTCTTTGTGGATGCAACCTCACAAAAAGTCAGCCACGCCCCTCTTTAGTTGAATGCTTGGTGAAGTACCCCGTCTTGGAGCATGTGATAGTTTACCTTTCTGAACAGTAGAAACAGGCTTCTATAAAGTTCAGAACCTCTTCTTCTCTTCATTTGGGCCCCAGTAAACAAGCTGGTTCTTGACTATCTGGTCAAAATCCTCTTGGATAACTGAAAACGTGGATGGCAACTATTGGACTTAACATGCCGAAGAATGAACCTGGTGCCTCATGGATAAACCTCATGTATGAGTCTACCCAGGTTCAAGTTCAGATTTTCTTCAGAGGCAGAGGGTGAGACCACATGGAAGCTTAGGCCTAGTTTCCTTAGGACTTGGCGTCCTTTTTGGGTCAAACCCGGCAATGCACAGGGGTTACTCCTGGCTCTGCGCTCAGGAATTACTCCTGGCGGTGCTCAGGGAACCATATAGGATGCTTAGTATAGCATGATGTGTAGTAAATCAAGTTTAGTTCTTAACTATCATTGACTACTATAGAATTTTTTAAGTCACTTGAGAAACAGTATCTGATAGTGGTTAAGAGTATGGGCTCTCAAAAGTAGAGAGAGATTATGGGGAATACTGTCTGCCATGGAGGCAGGGGGAGCGTGGAAAAGGGGGGTGTATACCGGGGATATTGGTGGCGGGGAATGTGTTTCTGGTGGAGGGATGCGTGTTTGATCATTGTGTGATTGTAACCCAAACATGGAAGCTTGTAACTATCTCACGGTGGTTCAATAAAATTAAAACAAAACGAAACAAAACAAAAAACAGACTACAGGGTCTGGGCTGGGGAGATGACTCCGGAATCAGAAGCATATGCTTTGCTTGCTCACAGCCCTGTTTGTCATCCTCAGCACCTCATGCCTCCTACTAGCCCAGCACTCTGGGTGTGGTCCTGGAAGTTCCTTGGCACCCACAGGGTGTGGACTTGGCGGGACCTACACTGCTAGGCATGTGCCGTCGCCCTGGGCTGTGGCATGGGGCCATCTTGCTGAGTATCTCAGTGAACCGCAGATCCCTTGAAGCCTGCTTGGGAATTCCAGCCCAGGGGTTATATACTGTTGTCCTCCCAACAAGAGTAGAGACTCTGGGGCCAACTTCCTTCTGCTCAATCATAGCGCATTGTCTGGTTTCTTACACTCGATCTTTTAATCTGTAAAGGTAAAGGTAAGGCCCTCCCGTTGATCGTCGATTTGCTCGAGCGGGCCCAGTAACGTCTCCATTGGAGACTTTGTTGTTACTGTGTCTGGCATATCGAATACTCTCGGTAGCTTGCCGGGCTCTCCGAGAGGGGCAGAGGAATCGAACTCGGGTCGGCCATGTTGGCCGCTTGTAAGGCGAACGCTCTACCCGCTGTGCTATCACTCCAGCCCTGTAAAGTGAATAATTATTATTTCACAGAAAATCCTAAGATGCATTTTATAAAGTTAATACATAGCGGGCTGGAGCGATAGCACAGCGGGTAGGGCATTTGCTTTGCACACAGCTGACCGGGGTTTGTATCCTGCCTGCACGGCAGAACCTGGCAAGCTCCCTGTGGCATATTCGGTATGCCAAAAACAGTAACAGCAAGTCTCACAATGGAGATGTTACTGGTGCCCGCTCGAGCAAATAGATGAACAATGGGAGGACAGTGCTACAGCGCAATACATAGTGAGTAATATTGAGATGTCAAATACTTAGAACAGTGCATGGTACTCCAGTGTCACTTATTGTAGTTACTTTTAAAGGCGCTGAATTTACAAAGAAATACTTCTCGAACTTGAAATACAGGTTAGATCTAAGTCAGATTTTACTCAGGTAGTGTTTATGGAAATGATTGTTTCTAAAAAGAGAAATCATTAGTGCCATTGCGAGTGCAGTCCAATCCCTCTCTCACTTGCAACGCCGTCTTCCTTTTGAGACTTTTAAAATGTGTAGGTCATTTTTAGGGAGTGAGAAGGTAGATGTCTGAATCGTTTCATTTTTTTAATGCATGGGTTCGGGGAAGGCATTTATTTGCTAGGGCCGCCAGACCAGCTCTCATGCAGCTGATGGCTCAGATGATACACATGTGTTTCTGCAGCTCTGGAGGCTTGACTGTCTGAGGACCAGGTGTTGGCTGAGCTGATTTGTTTGGTTTTGTGTTCCTGAGGACCTCTCCTAGCTTGTAGATGGCTATCTTCTCCCTGTCGTTCTTCATGGTCTTCCTTCTGTGCTTGTCCGATTTTTCTCTTATTAAGACAGAGAGCCTTATAAGGACTCAGCCTTGATGTAGGACTACATCTCTGTGGATTAGGACCTACATCTATGGTGCTATCTTAGTTGCCTCTATCAACTTGTATTTTTGTGAATCTGTTTACAGTTGATCTACAGCTTTTTCAT